ATCGGTCTCACTATCGATCTCAGTATCGATCTCACTATCGGTCTCGCTCGATCGATCTCACTTGATCGATCTCACTCGATCTATCTCTTTCGATCGATCTCACAATTGATCTCACAATCGATCTCACAATCGATCACACAATCGATCTCACATTCGGTCTCAATATCGATCTCACTATCGATATCACAATCGCTTTCACAATCAACGTCATCATCATCATCATCATCATCATCATCATCATCATCATCATCATCATCATCATTAACATCATCAACAGCAACATCATCACCAACATCGTCATCATCATGAGGGCACAGTCATCATCATCATCATCATCATCATCATCATCATCATAAACATCATCATCAACGTCAGCACCATCATCGGGACAACATCATCATCACCATCACCATCATCATCTCATCATCAGCATCATCATCATCGGGGCACAGTCATCGTCATCATCATCAGCAGCATCATCAGAATCATCATCGTAATCGGGACACCATCATGATCACCATCGTTCTCATCATCAACATTATCATCAACATCGTCATCATCCTCGGGGCACCATCATCAACATGATCATCGCATCATCATCAACAACATCATCATCATTGGGGCACCATCATCATCATGAGCAACATCATCATCAACATCGTCATTATCATTGTTATCATCATCGAGACACCATCAGCATCACCATCATCATCATCACCACCATCATCATCATCAGCATCGTCATCGGGACACCATAATCATCAACATCATCATCATCATCAACATCATTATCGCCGGGACACCAGTTCCATCAACATCATCATCACCAACATCATCGGAATCATCATCATCATCATCGGGACACCATCATCGTCATCATCATCAACATAATCGTCATGAGCATCCTCATCCTCATCATCGGGACACTATCATCATCATCGACACCATCATCAAAATAATCATCTTCATCGGGACACCATCATCATCATCTCATCATCATCATCATCATCATCATCATCATCATCATCATCATCATCTCATCATCATCATCCTCGCGGGACACCGCGGGACACCGGCGGGACACCGCGGGACACTGCGGGATACCGCGGGACACCGCGGGACACCAGCGGGACACCGGCGGGACACCGCGGGCCACCGGCCGCCCGGAAGGGAGTCATTTAGTCCGGCCGCGCCTCAGCCACACGGGACACCAAAAACAAACAACCAAAAAACCAAAAACAACAACAAAAATGCGGGACACCGGCGGACAACCGACGGGCCCCCGCCTGGCCCGAAGGGAGTCATTTGGTCCGGCCGCGCCTCAGCCACAGGAGACTTTCTCTCGCCCGCCCACGCAGCTTCGCCTCGCCCGCACGGCACGCACGAACAAAAAACCGAAATCGATTTCCCGGTAGGGGGGCTCTCCGTTCCATTTCGATCTCACCCCCCAACCTCCGATATATATATATATATATATATGTATATATGTATATATGTGTATGTATGTATGTATGTATGTATGTATGTATGGATGGATGGATGGATGGATGGATGGATGGATGGATGGATGGATGGATGGATGGATGGATGTATGTATGTATGTATGTATGCATGCATGTATGTATGTATGTATGTATGTTGATTGCCCCCGCACACCGTGCTGCAAGCTCCTGCTGAACCGAGGCCAGACATGCCTATCTTGTGGGTCCAACAACATACGATTGTCCAGAGTATTGCCCCCATGGTACGGAATGACACGGCCGACCCACGGGCCAAGAAATGAGCTATGAGCAGGCCCTTCCACGCCCAAGACATGGTCACAACCTGGTGCGGCGCCCTTTTTGGCATGGTGCACTACGGCTCCCTTGCGCCCATCTCAAGACCACCCGCTCCCCAACGGCAGCATGGCGATGCAGCCCATCATGCCCTGAGGTTGCGCCATGTTCATATGCATCCACATTTCACAGCATGTAGACGGGTCGCCACGATCATGCCTCTACCTGCTGCACTCCCCTTCTCCAAACGCTCATGTCTCGCCGCACCCTGTTTGGTTGCGCACCGTATCCCCGCAGTGGAGACACGCGCGAGGCTCTGCGAACCGACTCCTCCTGCTCCCTCGTCCTCCTGCTGCTGCTGCGCTCGCGATGTCTCACCCGCGGCCCGCAAGGAGGTGTGGCGAGGGCAGCACCACTCCCTGATCCCTGCCAGCCCCCACCTGGTACCCCACCTTCTAGATGAAGCGAACGAGTAGAATCGCCTGGGGGGGGGCGCCAGTCCCGACGCCTTGGGAGCGCCGGCGGCCAGTTCCCCCCCTCCCCCCGGCGTTCCCCATCCTCGCCCCCCCCCCCGCCCCCCCCACACACACTGATCCTCCCCTTCCCCTTTTCCTCCTCCTCCTCCTCTCTCCTCTCCTCCCTCCTCCTCCTCCTCCTATTCCTCTCCTCCTCTCACCCGCCCTCCTCTCTCTCGCCCTCCTCCTCCTCCTCCTCCTCCTTCCTCCTCCTCCTCCTCCTCCTCCTCCTCCTCCTCCTCCTCCTCCTCCTCCTCTCCTTCTCCCCCATTACATTTCCTTATGTTCTCCCTGGCGCACCCCGAGGCCAGTTTTTAGGGCGGGCCGGGCGTCTCGCCTGAGACGTCCCCAGCATGTTTTACCCTGGAGCTTGAAAAGTGGCAACAGTTTCACGGATTGAGGGCGGGTCGTTTTCAAAACGCGGCCGTCGCCTCAGCGCCGCGCACATACGTTGTAACAACTTGAAAGAGCTTCACGGATTGAGGGCGGATGGTTTTCAAAATGTGGCCGTCGCCTTAGCGCCGCGCACATACGTTGTAAAAACTTGCAAGGGCTTCACGGATTGAGGGCGGGTGGTTTTCAAAATGTGGCTCTCGCCTTAGCGCCGCGGACATTCCTTTTGAGCATGTGCAAGAATTTCACGGATTGAGGGGCGGGTCGTTTTCAATTATCCCGGCAAAGCAACCTAACAGCGATGTGTAGGAGCATATCTGGAAGCATTCCCCTTAAGATTCAGATGAGAATCCAGTTGTAGAATTCTGCTGTTCTCGCAGTCGTAGTCGCATTCGCGATGACAGTAGCAGCGACAACGGCAGTCGCAGTCACAGCCTCAGCCTCAGCCTGCCTCAGCCTCAGCCTCAGCCTCAGCCTGCCTCAGCCTCAGCCTGCCTCAGCCTCAGCCTCAGCCTGCTTCAGCCTCAGCCTCAGTCTGCCTTCAGCCTCTGCCTCAGCCTCAGCCTCAGCCTGCTTCAGCCTCAGCCTCAGTCTGCCTTCAGCCTCGGCGTCAGCCTCAGGCTGCCTCAGCCTCAGCCGGCATCAGCCTCAGCCTCAGCCTCAGCCTGCCTCAGCATCAGCCTGCCTCAGCCTCAGCCTCAGCCTCAGCCTGCTCAGCCTCAGCCTGCTTCAGCCTCAGCCTCAGTCTGCCTTCAGCCTCGGCCTCAGCCTCAGCCTGCCTCAGCCTCAGCCTGCATCAGCCTCAGCCTCATCCTCAGCCTGCCTCAGCATCAGCCTGCCTCAGCCTCAGCCTCAGCCTTCCTCAGCCTCAGCCTCAGCCTGCTTCAGCCTCAGCCTCAGTCTGCCTTCAGCCTCGGCCTCAGCCTCAGCCTGCCTCAGCCTCAGCCTTCATCAGCCTCAGCCTCAGCCTCAGCCTGCCTCAGCCTCAGCCTGCCTCAGCCTCAGCCTCAGCCTGCCTCTGCCTCAGCCTCAGCCTGCTTCAGCCTCAGCCTCAGTCTGCCTTCAGCCTCGGCCTCAGCCTCAGCCTGCCTCAGCCTCAGGCTGCATCAGCCTCAGCCTCAGCCTCAGCCTGCCTCAGCATCAGCCTGCCTCAGCCTCAGCCTCAGCCTGCCTCAGCCTCAGCCTCAGCCTGCTTCAGCCTCAGCCTCAGTCTGCCTTCAGCCTCGGCCTCAGCCTCAGCCTGCCTCAGCCTCAGACTGCATCAGCCTCAGCCTCAGCCTCAGCCTGCCTCAGCATCAGCCTGCCTCAGCCTCAGCCTGCCTCTGCCTCAGCCTCAGCCTGCTTCAGCCTCAGCCTCAGTCTGCCTTCAGCCTCGGCCTCAGCCTCAGGCTGCCTCAGCCTCAGCCTGCATCAGCCTCAGCCTCAGCCTCAGCCTGCCTCAGCATCAGCATGCCTCAGCCTCAGCCTCAGCCTGCCTCAGCCTCAGCCTCAGCCTGCTTCAGCCTCAGCCTCAGTCTGCCTTCAGCCTCGGCCTCAGCCTCAGCCTGCCTCAGCCTCAGCCTGCCTCAGCCTCAGCCTCAGCCTGCCTCAGCCTCAGCCTGCCTCAGCCTCAGCATCAGCCTGCCTCAGCCTCAGCCTCAGTCTGCCTTCAGCCACGGCCTCAGCCTCAGCCTGCCTCAGCCTCAGCCTGCCTCAGCCTCAGCCTCAGCCTCAGCCTGCCTCATTATCAGCCTGCCTCAGCCTTAGCCTCAGCCTGCCTCAGCCTCAGCATCAGCCTGCTTCAGCCTCAGCCTCAATCTGCCTTCAGCCTCGGCCTCAGCCTCAGCCTGCCTCAGCCTCAGCCTCAGCCTGTCAGCCTCAGCATCAGCCTGCCTCAGCATTCAAAATCTGGCCCGGGAATGGAGTTCTGGGAACTCGAAGAACACGAAGTGGCCTACAGTTGGCTCCGGGCATTCAAAATCATGCCCAGGAATGGAGTTCTGGGAACTCGAAGACCACGAAGTGGCCTACAGTTGGCTCCGGGCATTCCAAAACATGCCCAGGAATGGAGTTCTGGGAACTCGAAGACCACGAAGTGGCCTACAGTTGGCTCCGGGCATTCAAAATCATGCCCAGGAATGGACTTCTGGGAACTCGAACACCACAAAGTGCGTTTCTGTTGGCTACAAAAAAGGAGTCCCCGGTTTCCGGGGGGGGTCCCGGGGCACCCTGTCCGGATCTTCGAGGGAGAGTTTATTACAACATCGTTGGTGACTCTTTGGTTTACACTGGTCCTGCTCCTCCTCCTCCTCCTCCTCCTCCTCCTTCTCCTCTTCTTCCTTTCTCTCCCCAACACGGCCAGTGGAGTCCAGGAGCAGGCAACCGCGATGAGAGGGAAGTGGCGAGAGGCGTGGGATCATGGCGAAGGAAAGGGGGCAGTGTGTGCGTGCGGCCACTAATGGGACAATGTGGTGCCGCGCGTCCTACGCTGCAGACTCCACGGGAGTCCTGTGCGGTCAGAGCTCTGAAATTCCGGGAAGTCCACACGGCACCCGCCGAGCGTAGTCCAGGTAGCCGTCGCCAAAGAAATCGAGCAGTAGGTCCTCCTCGTTCGGGATGCGCCCTTGGAAGAATCTCCAGGACACCAGCGTGTAGGCCGCCAAACACACGGGGTTCGCCAGCACCAGCTGCGTGGAGACGCTCCAGAGGAACCACCCAACATAGCCTGGGTGTCTGCACCAGCTGTATACCCCCCATGTCACGAGCTCGTGGGAGGCCTCCTTCCTATCCGCCACGAGGTGGGTGAAGTTGGAGCCCGCGGTGAAGAGCGCTGCGGCACGGAGGGCCCAACCCCCCAAGGCGAGGCCGGAGCCGCAACACAGCAAGGGAGCAGCTAACCACAACGGCACCCACTCGCCCAGCAGCGACCGCTCCGTCCAGAACTCTGCAAGCGCGGCCACCATCGCCACGCTGTATCCTCCAGCTGGCACCGGCGTCAACAGAAACGCCCTGAACTCTATATCGGCGGGGTGAAAGACGACGGTGAATAAGAACTCGGCGGCGTGGAAGATCGAAGAAGAAACAACTGCACAAACATACGCTCTCGGAGGCCCGCGTGGCACTTCTTGCATCGGCATTGGAGGCGCCGCCGGGGGGGTCCCAGCGCAGATCCAAGAAATCCGCGCCAACCTCCGAGAGTTGATGTCTACGCATAAATGGGGCCTGTCCCTGCACAGGAGGAATATTCAAAAAATCTCGAACAACGAACAACGGGGATCTTTTATTTTTCGTCCAAAATTCCCCAATAGGAGGACATGCCCGACCTGAGTGTACGCAGTGGTCTCTTCTTCGCGGGAAGAGCGAGACGCAGACGAAAAACAGAGGCACCCGCAGCAGGCACGTGTCCGCCGCCTGCCCAAGGGCAAGCAGGCCCCACGCCGCGGCGAGCCCGTACCCGAGCATGGCGCCGACTAGCGCGCAGACGAGGCCCAGCACCGCGGGCTCCCTGACCTGGGGGGCAACGATAGGGGGAACTGGCATAGGGGGGACGCATCGACCTGGAGTCGGCGATACATCGCCGATAGATGGGTGATAGGCACCCGATAGTGAATCCGCACCTTCCTGGGCGGGTTGGGGCAATCAGGCCCTTATCGGCGATCACTGGGCGATTGGGGGTCGATGCATCCCACCCTATGCCGCCCCCCATATCGCTGCCCCGGATAACCTCCGAACGCACCAGGTTGGCGAGCAGGACGATCGGGGGGGCGTCAAGGCGAGGCGGGGGCCTGGCGCTGTCCTTCTTTGTCGCAAACGGGAGTGATCGCCCCGTTTCGGGCCCCTGGGCCCTTGCATCATTAACCGCGCCCGATAGATAAGAATACCCCCAGATAATAAAGTGCGGGGGTATGGCGGGGATAATCAACGATTTCCCCGGGGAAGGTGATGTTAGTTTAAAGTTAGGATGATGATGACGATGATGACGACGATGGTGATGGTAATGTTGGCACAAGACTGACACGAGAGATCTCGAGGTTCGTGGCTACAACTTGCCAGAGCAAGATAGGTCCTTGGCCATTCTGGCCAATAAACCTCTCTTGCGCTGGACTTGGCTGGCTCGGCACCATTTGGAGCCGTCCTTACGCGGGAGGCACTTGGTGCACGCTTGGGCGGCAGCGCTTGACTCCTCGAAGGTGGCGTACTTCGGCTCGGCCGCCGCGGGGACCTTGCAGGGCTTGGACTTGCGCTTGGCCTTGGCCTTGGCCGAGTCGTCGTCGCTGGCTTCCTTCAGCTTGTTGATCCACTCGCTGCCTCGGGCGCGCGCCGCGCTGATGCTCGCGGGCGCTTGGCGGCCCTCGCCTCGGATTTCGCGCAGGGCGCGCTCGACCCAACGACTCGTCCACAGGCCGCAGGACCAGGCGTCGGCCAGGAACATCGCGTCGCTCGGTGCAGGGCAGGCCTCGCCAGGGCCTAAGGCGCCGAGCTTGCGGGGGATCCTCGCAGCGGCCTTGGGAAGCCGCGCGCGGGGTGCAGGTGCGAGTTCGCATGTGGCCCTTTTGGGCCTGCTCGGCGTTCTCGGACGGCTGCTAGAGAGCGTCGCGGTGCTCCCCGCCGACCCTCGAAACCTTGGCGGGCGTTGCTACAATTGCCCCCTGCCCAGGGCGCCTCCAGGATTCGCTCCAAAACGGAGCAGAACTAGAGGCGCCGTGAGGTAGGGGCAGTAGTAGCAACCGCCAAATGGGCGCGGTCTGTGGTCGCTTGGATGGGGGGGGGGTGAGACCGGACCCCGCCCCCCACGCCCTTCCCCCCCTGCTTCCCATCCTCTCGTCGGGCCGGCGCTTGCGTCGGCGGCGGCTGGCGGCGGCGGGGGCGACGATTTCCTTGTCTGGGCCGGCGCCGGCACCTGCGGCGGCGGGCGGCGGCGGAGGGGAGCGTCGACGAGGACGACGGTGGTGGTGGCGGTGGTGGTCGTGGAGGTGGTGGTGGCGGCGGTGATGGTTGTGGTGGTGGTGGTGGTGGTGTGGTTTGTTGTGGTAGTGGTGGCGGTTGTGGCGGTGGGTGGTGGTGGTGGTGGTGGTAGTTTGGTGGTGGTGGTGGTTTGTGGTGGTGGTGGTTTGCGGTGGTGGTGGTGGTTTGGTGGCGGTGTGGTGGTGGTTTGTGGTGGTGATGGTGGGTTGTGGCGGTGGCGGTGGTTTGTGGAGGTGGTGCTGGTGGTGGTGGTGGTGGTAGTGGCGGTGGTGGTGGTGGTGTGGCTGTTTGTGGTGGTGGCGGGGGGTTGTGCTGCTAATAGTGGTGGTTGTGGCGGTGGTCGTGGTGTGGTAGATTGTGGCGGTGGTGGTAGTGGTGGCGGGTTTTTGCCGTGGTGTTGATGGTGAATTGTCGCGGTCATGGTTGTGGTGGCGTGGCGGTGGTGTGGTGGTAGTTTGTGGTGGTGGTGGTGGTGGGTTGTGGTGGTGGCGGTGGTTTGTGGACGTGGTGCTGGCGGTGGTGGTGGTGGCGGTGGTGGTGGTGCGGTGGTTTGTGGTGGTGGCGGTGGGTTGTGCTGCTAGTAGTGGCGGTGGCTGTGGCGGTGGTGGTGGTGGTGTGGTAGATTGTGGTGGTGGTGGTGGCAGTGGTTGTGGGTTTTTGTGCTGGTGGTGGTGATGGTGAGTTGTGGCGGTCATGGTTGTGGTGGTGGTGGCTGCGTGGTGGGTTGGTGGTGGTGGTGGTGGCGGGTTGAGGCGGTGGTGGTGGTGATAGTGGCGGCGGTGGTGGTAGCGGTGGTAATCGTCGCCACGTCTCCGCCGTCGCCGGCGCCCGAGCCGGCGCTGCTGGTCGCCGCCGGCGCCGGCGCCGTCGCCAGGGGGGGCGGCGTTTCCCCCCCCCCCCCCCCCTGGGCTGCCTCTGGTCGTCGCCGCTGCGCCCCCGCCGTCGGCGCCGTGGCGGCCGCCAGCGCCGGCGCGGCGCCGGGGGGGGGGGGGGTTTCGAGCCCCCCCCCTGGGACAGGGAGGGGGGCTTCGGGAGGGGTGGGGGGTGGGGGGAGGGAACCCCTTTGGTTTCGATCGACGGCGCCGAGTGCTGCCCCCCCCCCCCCGGTTCGAAACGCGTCGCCGAACGTTCTCAAGGCAGGCGCCCGTGAAACGCGTTCTCTCCAACCGCAGACCTTCGGTTGATGTAGAGCGCGGGCGCCTCGGAGTGCGCGCATATCAGGACGCGCTGGCCCTTCTCGACTTTCTCGGCCCAGCGCTTCCGCCCCTCGGGCTGCATGGCAGCGGGTTCGCCCCCGCCCTGGCCCTCTCGACCCCGGACCGCCAGAACGGTCTCGGGGGCGCCCGCGCGCTCCTCGATCTCGCCCAGCAGCGCGTGCACTGCGCCCAGCTCGAGGGCGCCGCCCTTGACGGTCTGCTCGCAGTTCATGATCGCGCGCTCCTTGGCGAGCGCGGTGCGGCGAGCCAGTCTGGTCTGGCGCCAGTCGAGCTTGCGCGGCCTGGGGAACTTGTAGTCCTGCTCGATCGTGACCCGCGGCGCTCGGGATTCGCAGGCACTCGCTAGCTTCCGTCTGCTTCCGCTTCGCGTCGCTTCCGCCTGCTTCCGCCAACTGTCCGCCAACTTCCGCCGCTGCCGCCGTCGCCTCCGCCGTTTCGCCGTTTCCGCTAGCCCCCGCTTGCTTCCGCCGCCTCAGTCGGAAGGGGGCGGAAGCTAACGAGTGACTGCGAGCCCCCCAGCTTCGCTACTCTCGATCTGGAAGATGGCCGCGGTCTCCACCTCGAGGGCGCGCAGGCGGCGCGCGTCCTGGGTGCCCGGGACTCGCCGGACGCCCCGCGCTATGCCGCGCCTGCCCTCTTGGGCAACCTCCTCGGCGACGCGCGCCACCTTGCCGTGGCAGGGTGGCCCCATCGCAAACCTCGGGGCCCGTTTTCTCCTTGGCCTTCGTTTGCTTCTTGGCGCCCTCCTGTCTTGGAGCAGCTCGTCTGCGCCTTCGGCGGCCTGCCTGGGAGCTTTGCCCCGGCCGCGCCTCGGCCCAGGTGCTCGCGCGAGGCCTCGCCGCCAGTCTTGGCCTTCTCGCGCTGCCACTCGCGCGCGTGCTTGCCCAGGAACTGGCCCTCGAACTTTGCGAGCACTTGTTCGCGAGAACTTGATCCTGTTCTGGATGGCGCGCGGGAGCTGGATCTCCTTGATCCGCTCTTCTGGCGTTATGAGCATGTCCTTCTGCTCGTCGGTGAGCTCGAGGTCCAGTTCTCGGAGCTCCAGGAGGCAGGGGCTCTCTTCCTGATAGTAGTCCCTGGGCAAGTCGCCGTTGTGGACGCAGTTCCCGTCGAGGGCGCCCCGCTCGGGCACGGGCGGCGCGCCCTCGCGCCGCCTTCGCATGCCTTCCCAGCGCCTCCTCGCCAGGCTCGGCTCGATTCCGCGGCCGGGCTCGATGGAGTAGCTCCACGCCCGCGACGACCTCGAGCTCGCCTGCTCTGTCGGCCGGACCGCGAGCACTTGGTTCGCTCGCGCCCCTCGGGGCGGCGCCGCGTTCTTCTTCTCGCGGCAGCGGGCGCAGGCTTCGGAGACGCAGTAGAGGCGCTCGTAGGGCCCCCAGTGGGTTAGCGGACTTGTGCTGCATCTGCTGCTCAGCCTTGGCCTTCTGGATCCAGTCCTGCTCCGTGGCCCAGTGCATCTCGACTTTGACTCCTCGGATCGCGGCCGTGAGCTGGCTGCGCTCGCGGGCGCTCGGCCCCTGCGAGAAGCTCGCGGCGCGGGGGGCCATGGGCGCGCGGATCGCATTCTGGAGACACGCTCGGAGCGCCACTTGGAGAGGCAGTCTGCGAACGCGAGGCTCTGGCCCCGCTTCTGCACGATGAAGTCGATGGTCCGGGAAGTGACGAGCGCGTCCGCCCAGGCCCTGGGCTGCCCCCACGCGTCGATGGCCTCGAAGACCCTCGCGCGCTCCTCCTTGGGGATCTCGAGCAGAGCGTTGCGCCGGCCCTTGGGCAATGCTTCTTTGGGCTCGCCTGCTCGGAAGCGCCCCGTCTCGCCATTGATCCACTCGTAGGTGGCGTCGCGCCGCCATCGACTGCGGAGAGGTTGATGAGGGCGATCCTGCACTTGTCCCCTGCGCTCGAATAGGCCTGCTCCGCGTGCTCCTTGTGGTCGGGGTGCTCTGCCAAGCGCTCGGCCTCCTCGGCCTCGAAGGCTGCCTTGTCCTGCTCGGACTGCGTCTTGCGGAACTTGCGGCGGCGGTTATCGATGCGTTTCTCGGCGCCTGCGGCGTTGATCTCGCTTTCGCGGATGCCCGCCCTCCTCGCCCCGGAGCTTGAGCCGGAGCGCGGCGGCGTCGACGACGACCGCGCTCGCGCCGGCCCCCTGCCGGGCGAAGGTCTCGGGCCCCCCGACAAAGAGGCCGAGCTCCTCGGAGCCGCCCCTCGCCACCAGGTGCACGAACCTAGTAGTGGTAGTAGTAGTTACTAGTCGCAGTGGTAGTGCTTGTGCGACTGATAAAAATACTAGCTACTAGTAGTAGTAACTGGTAGGTACGAGTGCTACTTCTACGAGTAGTAGTAGTAGTTACTAGCAATAATGGTGGTGGTGGTGGTACTAGTAGTAGTAGTAGTAGTAGTAGTAGTAGTAGTAGTAGTAGTTGTAGTTGTAGTTGTAGTTGTTGTTGTTGTTACTCGTAGTAGTTACAAATAGTAGTTGGTACTAGTCGTAGAAGTAGTAATTACTAGTAGTAGTAGTCGTAGTTATTAGTGGTAGTAGTAGTTACTAGTCGTAGTAGTGTAGTGGTAAAACTACTACTAATAATAATAGTTACCAGTAGTAATCC